ATAAGACAAACAACTTTTCTAAAAGTTGTTTTCTTGTTACACTTTAATTATTCAACTTTTCTAAAAGTTGAATTATTGCACACTCCTTAAATCACAACCACACACTTGTTTTTTAACTTTAGACATCATCATTAGTATCAGTACTAATGGACAGATTCAAAGCTCTCCTTTCTTCTGAGCGGACATCACCATACATCTCTTTCCACCAAGGTTTGTCTGTTTTGGCTTTCTCTTCAATCATCTCCATCATGACATCAGCATTTGGTTCCATGAGATCATCTTCTATTGGATCAATAATCAGATCAACTTGCATTAGATCTAGGCCTTGTGAAGAACTTGGGCCTGGGTCATGCGAAGAGTTTGGCTGATCTTCTGGTTCTTCATACCCATTGAGCTCTTGGACATGATTTAACAGGGCTGTTTTGGCACAGGGATCTAATGGATAATCATTAAAATATCCCCATAAGTAAGCAATATTCTGGGACCAAATAATTCCATCGGGCCTTTGCCAGTAAGGTCTGTGAATGATGAAGATGACAGTTATTCTTGAATTTTCTTCTTGTGTTTTTCCTTCTTGTTCTTTGGATAGAATGAACTTGTGCAGTTCCTTTCTCCACATGGTAATGGAGCATACCATTCCAACAAGGTCCATAAAAAGTAATCTGTAGCTTGAGGAGTCATGAGAATCTCATAGGTTCTCTGAATCTTGAGAGCAAGAGGAACTGAATGGTTGACTGTGAGACACCATATACTCCAGAGTGTTTTTTACGTAATGTCATAACCTACATCACAAAAAACTTGTAAAATATGCAAGAAAGGAATTTCTGGGTTAAAGACTGAAGGGATAACATCTTTTGTTTTCATGGTTTCATGGGTGTAATGAAAGTAAAAGTCTTCAGTAAACTTTTGAATTTGATAGACTGAGGTAGGTTGACCTAATTCTGGAGGATAGACTCTTTTATGCATGGCTGCTATGGGTAATGGTTCATGCATGAATATCAGAGGAAAAAGGACAGTGGCTATGCTGGAAATGACTTGAACAGGTGCTTTAGGTTTGGAAGGTCTGGATAGGAGGTCAGTGATGATATTGTGGCTTCCTTTGATATGTTTGACAGTGAAATTATATCTAGAAAACCAATCTTTTAGTCTGAGGATCTGAAGGTCTGGTTGCATTTTGTTTTTGAACTCTAGGATTTTTGGAAAAGAGGAATTATTCATCTAGACTTCAAAATTATGACCACGAAGATGGAAATCAAATTTTTTGATTCCATTTTTGACTGCTAGGGCTTCTTTATAAGTGGTATGATAATGTAGCTCTGCATCTGTGAATTGACCACTTGCATGTCCACAATAATATTTTTTGTTGTCAGCCTCTTCTATCAGGACGGCTCCCCAGAAATGATCACTGGCGTCTGTTTGAAGAATTCTTTTACCAGTACTGGGAATTTTCAAGGATGGTGGATTCTGAGCAATCTTTTTCAGTTCTTTGACTGCTTGGGTTTGTTCTGAACTCCAAGGAGGAGGATTTTTCTTTAGAAGCTTTGACAATACACTAGTGTATTTCGCTGCATGAGGAATGAAATCTCTAACATAATTAACTATTCCTAAGAACTGTTGAATTTGTTTCACAGTGAGATTTTCATCAGGATAATCTGCAAGTCCTTTTGCAATGTGTGGCTGTGGTTGATACATTCCTTTGGAGAAATGCATTCCCAGAAAATCAACTTCAGTCTGGGCAATATAGATTTTTTTCTCAAAAAGCATGATCCCATGTTTGTCAGCTAATTCTGCAAACTGGTTGAGCAATTTCCTATGTTCTTCCATATTTTTGGAAAAAAGAAGAACATCATCAATATAGATAAGAATTGTATCCAGGAGTGGAGCAAAGATTCTGGTCATTGCTTTCTGAAAGAGGGAATGAGCCACTTTAAGACCAAATGGAAGCACTTTCCATTGGTACTGCGCATTTGGAATGCAAAAAGCAGTCTTGTATCTGTCTGCAGGGTCTAATCCAAGTTGCCAGAAACCTGATTTCATATCAAACTTGGAAAATATATGAGCATCCTTAAAAAGAACAAGAAGAGTCTCAACCTTTGGAATCAGAAACTTATCATCCTGCAAGAAATGATTCAAGGGCTTATAATCAATCACCAATCTTTTCTTGCGTCTGATCTCTGATCTTTTTTCCACATAAAAGGCTTGGCATGCCCATGGAGATTTAGTAGGTTCTATCAAACCTTGCTTCATCCTGTCTCGCCAATTGAAGATCTAAAGGAGACATTCCTGGGTGAGTTGCTTTGGTTGGATTGACATCTTCATTGAGCTTGAATGGAAGCTGTACAAAAAATTCTTCAAACTTCCACACTGGGCTTTGGTATTTCTGGACTTAAATAGAACACTTCATTTATGGCAAAGACTGGGACATCACTATCAAAAGTTTCTGAATCAGAGGAGGAATCTTGTAGAGCAAAGACAGTCTCTTCATCTCCAGTACTTTGTTCAGAATACAAGGATTCTACATCTCTTTCGTCAAGATTTAAAGCAGTTATCATCTTTACTGCTTTATCTGACTTGTTAGGGCAGTTCTTTGCAAAATGACCCTTCTTCTTGCAAATAAAACATTTCTGACCTTTATTCTTCCCACGAAACTTCTTCTTCTTGAAGAACCTATATTGTCTCTGGGACCTTTTGCCTTTCTGCTTCTTGTTGTATTTCTTGAAATGATTCTTTTTCTTGGTCTTGCAATCACAGTTGTTATCTTTGCATTTTATCTCCAGATAAGACTTCTTACAGGCTTGAGTATATTTTGATCTTTGGTTCATCAGATCAGTCATATACTTATGCTGCTTGCAGAGTTTGTCAACCGCTTCAAGAGTCAGTTGGTGGATCTGTCCCATAGTAAGGGCTTTGAAATCTTTGCCTTGAGCAATTGTCATCCTGTTTAATTCTGGTTGAATCTCTTTAGGAAGAGAAGCCACATAAGTGTTTTTGAGGCTTGGATCATTGTATCCATTCAACAAATAGAATCTCTGCATCATCCTTTTGAAATGCTTTTCTAGATCTTTTATGTTCAAAGAGCAGCACTTCATCTCAAAAAATTCCTGCCTGTTTTTCTTGTCAATAATGTCTCCATCTCCAATGAATTCCTGGTGGAGGACTCCGAGCATACCAGAGGAAGTACCTACTTGGTGAAGTTGATCTTGTGTGACACTTCCCAAGTTATGATACCATTCCTTGAGAGAACCAACCATTCTGGAACAAAATTCTTCCATGACTTTGTAAGGGTCAGCATTAGCAACTAAGAGCTTAGTATCAATCCATGCTCCAAATTCCAAGAGTCTTTTTCTCCAAAGGTTTGGAGAAATATCATCAAGCGTAAACCATGGTCCTGCTGCAGTTGGTTTCTTAGTTTGATTTCTGCTGATAGCATCACCTGTTTCAGACTCAGGAGAATCATAGTAAGATTCAACTCTGAATTCTGCAGTTCTGGCCATCAGTATGCTAGTAATGTCAGCATAATTTGCTTCTGAAAGATAAGAAGAATCTAACTCATCAGATTGTTCTTCTTCAGAAGTTTCAGGTGTGGTTTCAGGAGTAGGTGTGGTTTCAGGAGTTTTATGATCTGGTTTTGGTTCAAGAACAATCTCAGATGAATCAGAACTCTGAGAGGTTGAGGAAGACTCTGTTGTTTCAGAGGTTTGGGATTCATCTGTGTCTTGGGGTTTTGCTTGGATTATGGGAAATTGGTCTTTAAGATCTACAGTTTCAAAGGTTCTTTTTGAAGAGCTGGGATTATTCATACGATCTGTAGAGTCTGAGGATAAAGAAGGAGTCGTGTCCATTCTAGTTCTAGATGAATGTTTTCTAGAAGTAGAAGGTTGTTTTCCTCTTTCTCTTCTGGGCTTTCGGTCATAAGGCTGGCTGGTTGGAAAAGTTCAAGGTTTTGGAGGACGAGGGTTGGTCCAGAATTCTGATGGTTTTTGAAAAAGAGAATAATAATTTGGCATAGGAGGTGGTAGAAAGGGATTGTAGCTTTCTGTTGGTTCTGGCTTTTGTTGGGATCTGATGTTTTGTTCAATGATTCTCTCCAGATCTTGAATTTCTGCTTTCAACCTCCTGATCTCTCCATCTCTCATATTGGCTTATGGAGTAAAGCCTAGCTTTTTTATCTCTTCTTCAAGCTAGGCTATCTGCTGCATGCTCTTCTCATAATGCTTTCTCATCCTCTTTGAAAGATGTTGTAGACGATTGTCAACTGTATCCATCTGATTGCAAATCTTTTCAACCTTATTGTCAAGTCTTTTCAGAATAGAATTCTGGGCTTGAGCATTTGCAGTCTGTCAATTGAGAACTTCTTCAGCTTGGCTTAATGGCTTCAGCTTTCCATCTGGCTGGACTTCTCCTCGATTAATCATAGGCTTGGTGGTGATTTTTGTGGTTGGGTCAATATGTCTTTCTAAAGGAGGAAAATCGTGTTGTGAAAACATTATACAAGGTATGGGTTCAGGATGGTGTTTTGGAGACTAGGTTATAAGGTTAGAGTCATTTGGTGGTTCAGGTGGAAGTAGTCATATAAAGATAATTCTGAAAAGTTTTTTTTTTTCACTTTACACGTTAACGATGTGATTGAGGAGAGAGAAGAAAAGCAACTTTTCAGTTTTACACAAAGTACGACCGGTCGTACTTTGTGTAAAACACCTAAAATGACACAAGCTTGTGTCAGTCAAAAGTATATTTCTTTTTCCCTATATATATAAATAAAATCATTTCTACAGCCGTTTTATGTACAACAACGACATATGTATTGTTATGATTTGCACATTTAATATATTTTAACAAGAGAGAAATTCCGAAATCAATAGTTCTCATTTTCTCTTCGTGCAATCATTAAGTAATTAATTAAAATCTTTTTCTTTAAGTTGACTCAATTTTACAATGTTGTTTTTCCAAAATCATGTAAGATTCATTTTGCACAGGGGAAGAACTAAGCTAACACTTAGATGATTGGAAGAACAATCTTAAGAGTTGTGTTCCCCAAACAACATAGTCGCTGGTTCCTCTTTTTCTCAACCTCTCACTCCTCGGACGACATAGGAACCTGCATTGTCTCCCTTCAATCTTGTGCCCACAACACAAACCTCTCCAAAGGAAAGGAACTTCATTCCCACTTGCTCAAAAATGGTTTCTTTGCATCCCCATTTGCCATCACCAGCCTTATCAACATGTATTCCAAGTGCACCCTTATGGACTATGCCTTCAAAGTCTTCAACTACCCCACTTTTCATGATAAAAATGTCTTTGCCTTCAATGCAATCATTGCTGGGTTCGTTGCAAATGGGCTTTCCCAAGATGGGTTTGGTCTTTATAGGCAAATGCGGCATATGGGTATTGTTCCTGATAAGTTCACGTTCCCATGTGTGATTAGAGCGTGTGGTGATGCTGTGGAGGATTTGGAGGTTAAGAAGATTCATGGGTTGTTGTTTAAACTTGGGTTGGAATTGGATGTGTTTGTTGGCAGTGCTCTGGTTAATACTTACTTGAAATTTGGATTGGTGGTGGAGGCACATAAGGTGTTTGAGGAATTGCCTGTTAGAGATGTTGTGCTCTGGAACTCCATGGTCAATGGGTATGCGCAGATTGGGCGGTTTGAGGAGGCTCTGGGTGTGTTTAGGAGGATGGGGGAAAATGGGGTAGTTCCTTGTAGATATACAGTTACTGGTGTTTTGTCTATATTTTCTGTGATAGGTGACTTTGCCAATGGACGAACTGTTCATGGGTTTGTGACAAAAATGGGTTATGACTCCAGTGTTGTTGTTTCAAATGCATTGATTGATATGTATGGGAAATGCAAATGTATTAGTGATGCCTTGAATGTATTTGAGGTGATGGATGAGAAGGATCTCTTTTCATGGAACTCAATCATATCGGTTCATGAACGATGTTGTGATCATTATGGAACTCTGACGTTTTTTGATAGGATGCTACGAAACAGGGTTCAGCCTGATTTGGTTACGGTTACTACAATACTACCAGCTTGTACACATCTAGCGGCCTTGATGCATGGTAGAGAGATACATGGGTATATGATTGTAAATGGGTTGGGGAAGGAAGGAAGTAACAATGATTTTGATGATGTTGTGTTGAACAATGCTTTGATGGACATGTATGCAAAATGCGGAAATATGAGAGATGCTCGCATGGTTTTTGATAGTATGAGAGAGAAAGATGTTGCCTCATGGAACATCATGATCACGGGTTATGGAATGCATGGTTATGGAGATCATGCACTGGATGTGTTTTCTCGTATGTGTCAAGCTCAAATGGTACCTAATGAAATCAGTTTTGTTGGATTGTTATCTGCATGCAGCCATGCTGGCATGGTGAAGGAGGGGCTTGAGTTTCTGGTAGAAATGGAGTCAAAATATGGTGTTTTTCCATCCATTGAACACTATACATGTGTGATTGATATGCTTTGTAGAGCAGGGCAGCTTATGGAAGCTTATGATTTAGTGCAAACGATGCCCTTTAAGGCCGATCCTGTAGGATGGAGATCTTTGTTAGCGGCGTGCCGGCTCCACAAGGATATGTATTTGGCTGGGATTGCTGCAAGTAAGGTGATTGAACTTGAGCCAGGCCATTGTGGAAATTATGTATTAATGTCAAATGTTTATGGAGTTCTTGGTCGATATGAAGAAGTATCTGAGGTGAGACATACAATGAAGCAACAAAATGTAAAAAAGAGACCAGGTTGTAGCTGGATTGAGCTTATGAATGGTGTGCATGTTTTTATAACGGGTGATAGGACTCATCCCCAAACTAACTTTATTTATGCTGGTTTAAATTCATTGACAGCAGTTCTGCAACAGCATGGGTATGTCCCTTATATGTAGCAGTTGGTATGCAAAAAAAGTTAGGCATGCATGACGACATTATTATTGGAATGGATACTAATATGTTGAAGGGTAGACCAATAATGTTTTGGCCCTTCCATCTTGCATTACAGATAAAGCAACCTTGGCGTACCATCCTATAGATGGCAAAAATCTAGGAAATATTATTTGCAGATGTTCAGATTGTAAAAAAGGTTCTGTCTATTGAATTGATTTCAACAATGATAGGCTACAACATATATACATACTGCTAAATTCCTAATTAACAAGAAAAGAAAGTGATCATAATTGATTGTGATTGATTCCCATAAATCAATAGCTCTAAAGAGCAAACTCCTGTGTACAAGGCTCCCCGACTTGTGAGGGTAGGGACTGTTTCCTAGACTTGTAACCGTGATTTTTCAGTCACAAGAAACAACCTTACTGTTGCTTTAAGGCTTGCCGAGATTAATATCTCTAATATACAGAAATAATTATTATTCTATTCTGATTTTCCACTGCAAAGAAATAATTTTAACAAAAATCTACGAGTAATCCAGTGACATTTAGGAGCTCCTATCTCTAAAGAATGATAATTACAGCAGGCAACTCACATTCATAACTACAGGTTAATGCATTTACATTACTCTTAAAGAACCTTGGGATACACCACCCCAAAAGCTAGCTCAAAGGGTAGGAGTGCCCAAGGCCTTATAAAAGCTATATTAGTTGCCCATCCAATCAATGTGGGACTATATATCTCAACACGCCCCCTCACGCAAGAGCCCTTTAGGCTAGAAGCGTGGAAATTGCACAGGCCCATTTTTGGTTTACCTTTTGTGCTTCTTTTTTTTTTTTTAATTCCACTTTAAAGCGGGGGACGATGAGACTCTGATACCATGTTAAAGAACCTTGGGATACACCACCCCAAAAGCTAGCTCAAAGAGTGGAGTGCCCAAGGCCTTATAAACTCCACATTAGTTGCTCTTCAACCAATGTGGGACTATATATCTCAACACGCCCCTCACGCAAGAGCCCTCTTGGCTTGAAGCGTGGATTATGCAATAGGCCCAATCTTTGGTTTACCTTTTTGTGCTTCCACTTTAAAGTGGGGGGCGGTGAGGATCCTCCACTTTGAGCTAGCTTTTGGGGTGGTGTATCCCAAGGTTCTTAACATGGTATCAGAGCCTCGTCGTCCCCCACTTTCTCTTGTGGCGTTTCTTAGCACAGATAGACTAGGCCTGTTGCATTGTCCACTCTTCAAGCCCAATGAGCTCGTGTGAGGGGGCGTGTTGAGATATATAGTCCCACATTGGTTGTATGTGCAACTAATGTGGCCTTTATAAGGCCTTGGGCACTCCCACCCTTTGAGCTAGCTTTTGGGGTGGTGTATCCCAAGGTTCTTAACAATTACCTACCATCAGTTTCTGTGCAGTGTAAGTCAAATCTTTCGTAATATGGGCTGTTATTGTATGTTAAATCAAATTACATTACCAAATCTACTGGGGTCAACTGAAAATGCTTTCTTGTCTTTGGAGTCAATCACACTCAAACTTTAACCATCAGTTTCAACTCAATATGCCAAGAATACTAGAGCTGTCTATTTTCTTTTCTTTCATGAAGCTTGAGAGAAAGTATAAGGATGTGATCTGTTGTCAGTATAAATTTTTTTAATCAACTAATTATTTATTGTCACAAAAACTACCCAAAAAGAAGAAAAATAATTAAGGGTGTATTAACATAATATTGAATAAAAACAGACAACTCTTCATGAAACCTCAACTTGTAAATATAGGGTAGGGTGAGCAAGTTCTTGTAAGTTTTAACTTTTGTTTTTGCAGACAAGACTGTTTGTTGGATTGGAACTCATGACATCTCGACTTACTATTGCTGCAAACTCAATTTAACATAGGATTGAATGATTTAGTATAATTGACTGTGAAGAAAAAAAAAACTCTTAAGTACAATTATAATATAGATCAAAACTTGTAACTGTATTTATTTTTCTTTATAGAAAACTGTCTTCATTTCAGCTATTAACTCAGCATATAGTGTGCATCTCTAAAACGAGGAAAATGTGGCTATCTCAAACTAAGTTTTGTACATCATGCATACTTGTGCTGTATATACCTTGCAGATTTTAGCTGTCGTATGTAACACATGAAAGAATGACAAAAATTGTTTGCTGTGAATTTGTGATAGAACTATTCCAGAACATGATCTCCCAAGAATTTGCCAAACCCTTGTGCGAATAAGGTCAAGAATCTCATATCATGATTCAACTTATAAAACAATTATTTATAATTTATAGTAACTTTCTAGATAAATTTTTGTATTTATATTCAGTTGGCGTCCATATTAACCGTAATTCTTAGTATATATGAAGTACCGATACTCCAAAATTTTATTTTTCAACGTATCGGATACACGTATCAGAAACGTATTGTATCGTATTGACGAATTGACGGTCGTATCGAAAATGTCGTGTCAGAATCGGTGCTTCATAGCTTAGTATTACTGATTTCACAGAGGGTTCTAACATAGATGTTCTCTTCAAAAGTATACAACTCTTTCCATATACTAAAACACGCTCGTAGTTGGGATTCTTGCAGGTTTCCACTCTAACATGTTTCTTGGAGACCGTGAAGAAACACCTTGTTGCGTCCACGAATGAAATTTCATCAACCATTACTTAACCAAACCAAATCTTGCCTGTGGATCTATATCAACTGTAGGTGACCAGACCAGATTTCCTCAGTTGATCAAACTATAACAATTGAGAGTGACAGCTTGAAAAATGATAAAGAAAATTTAGTTATATTTCTTAGTTTTATGTATAACGTCAAATTGAGTTATATTTCTTAGTTTTATTCGCGTCAAGGTGTGATTGTGAATATTATAATCATCATGTGAGTCATCAGGGACGGAGTGAAGGAGGACCAGCGGAGTCATGGTCCCCTACTCCCCTCATCACCCTGAAATGAAAACAAATTTTCAGTTTTTGGATACATGCAATATAATTTTTAAATTACGGTCCCGCATGACTTTTAATGTTAAATATTAAATTGGACTGAAAATAAATATATCTTTCAAGCTTGCTGCATAAAGAAACAATCTTTTACCACAAAGAAATAGTCATATCAGTAAAAACTGGAATTTCAGCTAATATAACTTGACTTTATAATTTTGGCGCACTCCATAGTTAAACCCTAAATCCCTCCGTACAGAGAGCAGTGCAATGTGAAATGGCTAATGTCTCGCATTCAAATACTATGACGCTTACGTTATTGCCCAGAGTTTTGAGAGCCACGTAAGAACATCTTGGGGTGGATGTTCTGGTTAAGTGCCTCTCCCTTGTTTCATTAAAACAACGATACAACATTATTTCTTCACTTTTGTATTTGGTTTCTCTATAGCATTGTAAAAGTGGCAAGCATTCTTCGCAATTAAATGGCAACACTATACTTGCACTTATGGCCATTAAAACAAAAAAAATATTGTTACAAGGGTTGACAACGTGTTTCAACTAAGATTGTCAAAATGAATATACATATATTTCCTTATCCTTCACAGATGTAACAACTCAAAAAATGACAATAGAAATGAACAGGAACAGGTAATGAATCTTGAATTTCTTGGAAGCCAAGACAAAGGATTTGTAAAACTATCCTAACTTTTTCTCCTTTTATGTGTGAGCGCTTAATGAATTCATAGAAAATTGGTTCAAATTCCTTCGGGGTTAATCCCCCTCTTCACCTGCCAACCTCCAACGCAAACCAACGCCAATGTCTATATATCTGATGCTGTGATTGAGGACACTACTTCCGACATCTATAGGAACACTGCTCCAAAAAATGAGATCCCACATTTCCACGTATCCTTATTTTAATGCATCTAGTTTCCTTTCAGCACATCCAATACAAATGGAACTGTCTATGTAAACTTTCTTTGGTGTCTTGAATTTCAAGCCTGTCAGTATCAAAGAAATTTCCAATTATCATATACATTTAAGAAAATAAAAAGGCATCTTCCCCCTATCTCCCCTCTTCTGCTTTTTACAAACATGAGAAAATTCATTTGATGCTCAGTAGCCTGGCAATCCAGAAACTATATGTAATTACCCAGGCATTACATATGTAATTATCCTTCCCCAAGATTCTCCATAAACCCTTTACATAACAAATAGAGGCTTACCGTTGAATGAGGAATCTGAAGCAGCACAAGCGCGATGCAATACAAAGAGAGGGAAATGGCAAACCCAGTAATAAAATTATGCAGCAGTCGCCGATTATCTTTTGTGGGTATGAACGCAGTCTTAAGTGTATTTGTTAATTCAAAAAGCCGATGAGATACCTGCAAAACCATGTCAAGATAGCCGGGCAAAACAAAAACTGCAACTTAGTATGATGGGATGGCTTTCTCGAGACTTGAAGATAAATAAGAAAAATAAAAATAAAAAATAAAAAATGAAAGAAAGAAAGAAGAAAAGAATAAAGATCCTTACCAAGACATATATAGCAGTTGTAAGCATGAAGTTGAGCATAGGATACTCCGGGATAAGAGAAAGAAGCCACTTGGGCTGTCCATTTGGCATGTTAGATCTGTATGCAAAGTGGAAATTATTAAGTAGACGTCTTCCTGAGCTAAAGTTATTTAACAAGTTTTGTTTCAATAATTATTTTCCCAAATGTTGTACCTGATCCAATATACTATGATTTATAGAAATAGAGGCACAATAGAATTTACAATAAAAAAGAACAATATACATAATGAAAAGTTTTTTTATACGTGCAAATTCCAGTATCTCAAACCATGTCCGATCTACAAATCTAATGAAATTAGCCACGCACTATTGTCTACTGAGCTGGGTCATCCACTTGAACATCATAAAATTTCCAATTCTTGGATCTTTAGTAATTTAAAGTATGAAACAAAATGAATGAAATAATACATAAACCCCATAGTATGACTAGCAATAAAATCAGAAGAAATAACAATTTGAGAATTATCCCTCTTAAGGT